TATATGTTATTTACTAGTATATGCTAAAATTTATGAATATTTTTAATATAGATACATAATTATTAATTATTAAGTACCTTATAATTTATTTTTAAGAATTTATTATGATATTTGAACTGCTTTTAACAAAAATTAATAAGAAATTTAAAAATTTTTAATCTATATTTTTATATTTTAACAAATCTGTAAGGATCTAAAACTAAAATTAATTTAAGAAATAATTATTTAAAATATTATAAATTTATTTTAATATTAGTAAAAAAAATTATAACAGATTAATATAAAATGAAAGAAATAATAATAATAAATAAATAGCAATTAATATGATTTATGAATAGAGTATAGATTATAGAGAGAGGAGTTTTGCACTGAATCGAGAGAATTCATAAAATAAAAGACATTTTTCAGTGAATCGCAGTCTCGGTCGAGACATCCGTGTCGTATATTAACGTTGAAACTGTGCTCTCATTAGCTGTTTTCACATTCATTGGACCCAATGTTTGTGTCAATTCTGGTGTCTCACTAGTAGAAGAGGTCTCAGATTTGTCAGAATCGCCAGAATAGGATTCATCGCTCAAATCAGTCAAATCCTTGTCGTCAACCAAATCGTTGGACTCGATTGAATCAAATGGTTTGTTTGGATCCAAAGGTTTGTTGACGTTTTGGTTGATCTCAACGGTCTTATTGGGACCAACAATGAAGGCCTGATTTAGACTGATATGCGATTCAATGGTAGGGTTGAAGAGATGGCTAACTGTGACGGGTCTGACCGTATTTATCTCATTGGAGTTGGTCTTAGTATTAGTATTGGGATCGGAATTGGATTTTTGTTTGGATTTTGATTTGTGGTTATATTTTGAATTTGTTATTTCTAATGATTGGTTTAAATCTGATGGTAAATCGTGAATTTGTTGTGACAACTGATCCTGATCTGCAAGGCCTGACACTATGGACCCGTCACTGCTATTTGTAGGGCTCTGTTCAGACGGTTCTGTCGAGAAATCAGTGCTTTGTTTGTCACTCAAAGCATTTGAGAGTCGGTTGAGTCGAATGATGGCATCAATGAGTGCATCGCCGGGAAAGTCGATCATAAGAATGCCCACAAACTCCGGCCTCTCGTTCTGAATGTACTTCAAAGTCAAGTCATTTGTTCCCTCGAAAGCCACTAAACAAAAACTACCCAAACAGTAGACACGGGGAAAGTCTGGGTAAACATCTCTATTGATTAGTGTTGTCCTTCCCGTCAGCATTAGTGGAGAGTTAGTCCTGTGATCAGATCGACCCCCGGCTACGAAATATGGGGTCACAAACAGAGGCAGTCGACCAAAATATCCCGTATTACCGGACAAGTAGTTTGCATAATATCCTTCGCCTTTATGTTTGTCAGTCTTAATGAGTTGTTTCTTCACTTTTTCCCATTTGTCGTACAGCCTAAAGATGGTCTTGACTTCGTTGTCATCCTGAGTGTCAAACGATTTATAATCCAAACCCATTGTCTTTCTGCCGACAAAGTCCTGTAAGAATACAATCTTTCGTCGGACTTCACCCAACGTTGGGTTCACAGCATTGGCCTCCCATACGAACGGTGCAAATAAGTCTTGCGAGACATACGTGCGAAACGTGTCTTCAAATGACTGGTTGTTGGCATTGGGTTTGAACTCTTCGCGAACCGTCACTAATACCACTTCTGTTGGGTTTTGCGTCAAAAATTGAATCAAAACAGTCATCACTTGATTGAAGTCTGCCTTTTGGTCATAGCTTTCGTGTTGTATTCTTAAGGCATTATTACTGTGTCGGCACCGAATGTCCAGCACTCGGATGCCAGCCCTTAGTTGTGTTTCCAACGACAATGACTGACACTGAGCTATATCTCCACCGAACAGAGCCATTGACTCGTGAGTGCCGGGAAGTGACAGTTCCGTGAGGCGAGTGCTGTCCGCTATATGACTCATCCAATCGCTGTTATCTAATTTAGTGGTGTTTTCGTGCGAATACCCCGAAGTCGTTATCGCACTCTTCATGGGACGCTTGGCATCGATTGCCTGGTTATGTGGCACCGGCTTATCCATTGGTTTCGGTGGCCGTATATTGATTGTGCCTAACAGACAACAAATGCATGTTTCATTATATTCATTTTTGTCTTGATCAATTCATGTGATAATAGTCATATATTTACCAATTGGTTTTTTGGCCAGCGTTTGGTCACAAATCAATAAAATCAAAGTAAAATAAACCAATAATTTTAACATTTTTATTAAAACTATTCACTTAAACAGCAATTAATCAAAAATGTATTACAACTTTAAGTTTAAAATAAACCCACCACTTGTTTTAATAAAAATGAGTTTAAATAAAATCAAAAAAAATTACACAATGTGCTTAATTATATTATATGTGTGATTTTATAATAATTAACCTTATAATCTAATATTTTAGTTTGTTAGCAAAACTATTTTATTAAATTTGCTTAATTTAGGTTATGGTTTAATTTTAAAAGATTTTGTTATTAATTTATAAATAAAAATATAAATATTATCATGTATTTAAAATTTACATTTTGCTTTCACTAGTAATTTGTGGTAGTATTTGTATACTGATTTTTAAAATGTTTTAATATTTTAAGATACAAGAAACTCTTATATAATTAATATTTATTGTTGTATTTGTTTAAATTTAAAGTACAATATTTATTTAATAATTATTAGAAATTCCAGTATATTATTAATATATTATATATTTTTGAAAATATATGCAATTTTAAATTAAATTTTTGAAATCAAAGTAAATGCTTGTCGTAACTTACAATATAAACATAAGCAGAACTAGATAATATAATAAATTTAAGAAAATATAATAAAATTACTATTATTATTAAAAATATTGTATTATAAATAAATACAAGTATAGCGTTGAGTTTTATACAGTACTAAAGACATGAAGTGATTGTTAGGATTAAGCGCAGAAAAATTTAAGTTTAATATTGCAGTTCACATCAAACCATTTGAAGTCTCCCTTTTCCCCGACGACACCGCAATCTTCTCTGGTCTTAGCAAAGGGTCCGCCGTTGTCGGGCTGACCCAAAGCCCACGCAGAGAAACTGTCGGACACTTGAGTGCTGTCCTCATACATCCAAATGCCCTCCACTTCTCTATCAGTCAATCCAAACCAATACCTCATATTTTTATCATTCCTTATATTGGGTTGAGTTTCGAGTAAATTCTTAATAAAATGAGCGTAAAATCCATTTTCTTCGAAACTGTGAGGCTGTGGGAGGGCTCGACCCAAACCATTGCATACCTTCTTTGCCTCATCCCATGTCATGGCTGTATCCACATAATGAGCTATCATTTGATTTCAATTACTTTCTATTTAATAGAGTTTTTATTAATAAATTTATTATGAATTACGTTTACGTGGATAACAACGTCCGGAACATTTGCCAAATTGACGGCAGTATTGGTCGTTCAGGTGTTTCCTCTGTTCGTGTTATTTGTGTTATAAACAAATGTTTTAAAACTAGTGCCCAATCAACCAATACCTCAAATTCTGGGCCATCCATGAGGTCATAGTAAGAGAATCCTTGTTTTGGTGTCAAAAGCAATGTCTCGTTAGAGCAGATGGAGTCTGACATGAGATCACACACACCGTCCCCCCAATTGAATGACTTGCAATCAGACTTGTGTTTCAAGCAAGTGATCAGACAATGGGAAACAGTGGTTACGTTTGTGAGAGTGAGTGTTGGCACTCCTTCTAACACTTGATTACGTCTGAATAGGGAGGAGGCGTACTGGCCCTCCACTCGCAACACATCTTTGCCCATACAGTCAATTGACGGCACAATTACTATACATATTATCAGAAAATACATGTCTTTCCTATTGATGTCTTTCCCTAACGGCTTAGTAAGCCCTTCTAAACTCACTTTCTGTTTCAAATATTTGTCGGCAATTGTCATAAAGTGAACCATACAGACCATACAGACCATACAGACCTAAATAAATAACTTATATAAGTTATTGTAAGAGAAACTTTATTTGCTTTATATTCACAAACGTTAATCATAATGACTAAAACATGAAAATAGTTTTTGTATATTAGAAATAAAAGCTTTTAATCTTACTTGTTAGTTTATAACATAGGATTTGTATGTATCATATATTATACTGTCCATGTAGCAATATTCATAAAAGTATATTAATTTAATGTAATTTCTGTATTTAACAGAGCATACCTGCAATAACTTATACTAATATATGATAAATGTTATTTTATTTTATGAAGCTATTTGATTAGGCATAATTATTTTTATGTAACATTTCAGATTCGTTCCAAAAAGGTTATGATCTATAAATTGTAGTACTATACTGTACTAACTTATCTACAATTAAGAGAATTAAATATTATTTTCTTCTTATAAAATGAATGTCCCTGACAATAATTAGAAATTTTTAAAAAAGACAATGACTTGGAAAATGAATTGTCGGACCTTTGACTTAGATTTGAGAAATAAAAATGAATCAATCGGTAGACATGTGTTGAGACGAGTGGTGAGAGGGAAGCACTCGATGCAGAGCCACAACAGCACTGATGGCATGAATCGAGTGAACCATTGATTGAATGAATGGCTGAGGACTGAGAGGACTGAGAGGACGCATGCGATGCGATGTCGCCATTCACTGCACTCACAGCCCATCCATCGCTTTATTAGACCTATTCTTCGACACCACTTCTCTGTAATACAAATGCAATACAAGTGTAGTCTATATTACCATATCATCGAAGCCATCCTGGAAACACATTTCTGTTTTGAAAAACAGTTTACAGAATATATTTCATATAAACACACGTTTTATCACTATTTTCAAACTAAACCTACGTTTAAAACAATAATTTTAATTAAATATCTGTTTTTGTTAAATATATTCTCTATATTCTCTGAATTTGTATTATTTTACATTCAAAAGAATTAATAAAATTATATTTATTATATCAAAGGTTCATAAAAAATACACTGCAGTGCAAGTGATTAAAGAATATTCATTAAATATGAATAACTACAAATATGTGTTTTATGAAATTTGTGAATACAGTACAGTATTTTGAAAAGTTTGAAAATTAATATAGAAAATAGAGTTTTATTTTGAGAGAAATTGTGAATTAAGTGAAACATAAGACGAATGCATAAATGGTTAGCGCCTTCTTCCATACATTTCCTGCAAATGGATCGCCAGTTGTTTGTGGACACAGACGACACACTTGTCATTGAGTTGAGTCAGAAGTTGGCGGCCGACGAGTGGTCGGCAAAAGTGCCCAAAATGCAGGTCTCCGAGAGAGACGGACATTGGTTTGCACTGAACAACAGTTCACTACAACTTATGCTTCAGTTGCAAAAACAGGGGAAACTGTTGGACGGACTGATTGAGGTGGAAGTGGTGCCCCTCACCAAAGTGCCCACTAATATACAACGGGCTATGATTGCCAACACAGACACCAATGCAGACACCAGTGCCCTCAATGGACAACATTCCACGGCTTACACCCCACACTCTATCCCCGACACCGACACCCACTCCATTGCCCGTAATTATAGAGTTTAATATTTTAATTGTTGCTAGTTTAATCTAAATAAATAAAGTCAATTATGGTACAGTATACTGTATATTACACTATATATTGCACATACAGCTGTTTGAAGACATTGCCTTTACCGCACAAATTAATATTTAACAAACTTAATATAATCACAAACTATTATTTGTCACAAAACTATATCCTTCACAGTATTTGAGACATTTTTCTCAAAAGTTACTTTCATTTTAAATCAAAAATACAATTTATTTTATTAGTTGTTGTGAAGAAATCTAGAAAAGTGGAGTTCATTTCAGACATTCATTGATATTGTATGAACAAACAAATCCAAATTATCGTTTGATGTAATATCATACATGTATCGATATGTACTAAATTAGTGCCAACTCTTAGCTATCAAATTAACTAACAGTAAATGCTAGTCACACATGATTTTGTATCTTCCGTTCCTAAACTTTAGTCTCTGATTTGAAGCTATAATAGTATTGTATACAGTATTTTGTGTTCAAACATATCAACGAATTTATTGTTTAAATTGAGTTTCTTTTCAAATGGTAACCAATTTGTCAAAAGTAGTCAATTGTGAAAACAATGAATAAGGAAAGAGTCAAAGATTTTTAATCAGCAAATTAAATGAAATAGTGACCACTATTTCTCAATTTAATGTTTGCAGTTATTGATGAGTTTTATATTAATTGAAAGTATATGAAATGAAAACATGTGATTATGTTCTATTAATTGAAATAATATATTGTAATGCATTTGTTTGTTTAAAACTGATTTTTATTTATAATCATTTCCATAGAGAGCTCCTCAAGACGTTTAGGAAAGAAAAAGGGTTATCACAAACTTGCCGTCGACTCCATCAAAGGGACAGCCACTCCTAAGCACAAAGTTAGTGACGGGATGACCACGACTGAGGTCAACACGTCGTCCATCATACCAACACATACTACCAGTGATGACGAGGAGGACTCGGAACACGATTTGGATGACGAGGACGAAGACGAGTTGGACGACGAGAGCACTAGTAATGAGTCGTCGAGTGGTGAGGAGGAGGAGACGGTTCAGTGCAATGTCTGCGACCGTTCGTTCGCGAGGGCACCACAACTGGCCGCTCACCAGCTCTCGAAGAAGCACTTCGGCTGTTCGGTCTGCGAAACGGTGTTCCCTTCGCTCACTGCACTCGAGCAGCACAAGGAGACACTCGAGCACTGGTCCGACACCGACAACCACTCCGACTCAGACCACGACAACGACGCCCACAACTCGTCGACCAGCGCTTACCCGAGGCCTCAGAGGGAGGAATTGGAAAGACTTCTCTAAAACCTCTAACCTTAGCTCACTTTCATTATTATCTCTATTTCATTATTATTATTACTTTGTTTCATATAAATTATTTATTTCAATCTATATATTTGTGTTGAAAAATAAACATAGACTTATGAATGAGTTGTGAGTCGAAAGCTTTTTATATTGCTTAAGTGTACACAAGTGTTTATTAAAAAGCTTTCGACTCACAATTCATCCATAAGTCTGGGTTTATTTTCCCAACACAGATATTTACATTTTTAAAAATTATAAAATACTCTATAACTTCATAATATAGAGTCTATATTTAAGTTTTATCACTAAATAAATTACATTTTTAAATATTTGTTATATTTTCTTATAGACATTTAAGTCATATCTCTTAGTCATAGAATACGGTCTACTCCAGTATAATGGTTTAATAAAAATATGATATATTGTATCAAGTTATAAAATTGCAATTTACTTGTGCAAATATCATGAATATAAACATCGTAGTAGGCGGTATCAAATCTAAATAAAAAAAATAGGTTACTAACTTGTGAGAAAAAGACTACCGTGGCCTGTTCTATGTATTATATATTTTATTTTGTAATAGAGGTAACTTTGCTAATTGTATCGCCAACTATTTCCAGAGTTTAGAATGACAAATAGTAAAAGTTGGGCTTTTGGTCAGTAAAACATTGTATTTCCCACGTATTTATTAATTAAAATGTTCTTGCTGACCATCTCTCTCATTCAGTGATTAGATACATATTAAATGATAAATGAACCATATGTCTATTATAATATTTAAAATATTATTGTGTATTTATAAATTAAATTATAAAATACAGAATAATAATAATATTTTTGATTAAACATTTTAACAAGGTCTCAAATTAAAATATGGTTACTTTATACAGATCAAACATTTAGACCTATTAGTAATATCCCTGTATAATATTAATTATTAACTGTGTAAATAATTTGATTTTAATAAATATAAATAGTTAGGTGTGAATTATGCTAATTGTAAGTGGTTAGTTAGTACATTGTAAATATATGATTGATGTATATGAAAATAGGATGGGTAATAAATATCAGGTAAATATTTGGTCAGAATGATGATGAATGTTGTAACATGAAGTCACTGTACTGTAGTGTATA